GATGTGATTTGAGAGGAACAATGGAAAACATTCAAAGTAGAGAAAGGGCTTCCCATCTTTTTGTTGTCTTTCTTGTCATTTTCTTATTTCCTTTTTGCTTATGAAACGAAGTTTTCTGGCTGTGTTCGGAATTGAGAGATTGGTCTGTTCACCCCCTTTTTCGAAAGATTATTTCTAAACCCAATTGGAATCTCTAAGCAAACAAATGAAAAAATTAAAAAGAGAAAAAAAAAGCCCTTGTCTGAAAAGTGCATGTCCGAGTAAAGAACAAACCAGCTCTCTCTCTCTCTCTCTCTCTCTCAAAATCTTTAAATAAAATTCGCAAAGTGGAGTTGAAATTTGCCTGTCCGCGTCTGCAATGTAAAAGCTGCGGCATGCCCTCGAGCTTTTGTTTGGGGTTTGAAATAAACGGGAATGGGGTTTTGTGCGGGGCGCAGACACGATGATGATAAATGGTGGAATTTGGTGGCTCTCTGTATTTCGTGTCTCTCCTCCGGGGAACCTCAGTCCCCTGCATTTTGGCTTTTCAAATTATTAATTTTTTATTTTATTTTAGAAAATTACGATATACGGTGAATTAAAAATTATTATTTATTTCAAAGTATATTATTTTACTAAAAATTAATATATATATATATATATTTCTTTGAAGAAAGTCAATTTGTGATGGGGTTTGGTGGTTGAGAATGCGACTCTTCTCTGCAAAATTGAGGCGTTTGTGACACCTATCGCAGTCGAAGCAGACAACCAGTGTCCCCTTCTTTTTTGTTTTACTTATATATCAGCTATCATTAGTGCTCCACCTTTTCTTTTACTATTATTATTATTATACATATATATAAATCATGATGTCACCTTGGTGGACTATAATGATGAAACCCAGTTCCTAATTTTTTAATTAAATTAAAAAAGAATGTGCTTTTCCTCTGTAATTTACACACACACATATATATATATGGGTTTTTCCCCCTCTATATATTAATATACACATGTGTATATACATTCGTATTATTATCCAAATAAAAAGTATATAATATAATTATCATATGCTATGGTTTTGAAGTCATATGGAAAGGCTAGTTTTAATAAGTTACTTACTTATAAGATAATTAGTTGATTATATGCCTCCTATTATTGACCCAATTAAAATTCATTATACCACTCGAGTATAACCAATACATTATTATATATTAAGGTCAATTTAATAATTAAAATTTTTGAAATCACAATTTTTTTAGTCATAATATAAATTAAAATTTTAATTTACTAATATAATATATGATCAAATTAAATTAAATCTTTACTTCTATATCTATAGCATTTAAGTTTTTAAAAGTTGAAATTAGACATAACAATTTAAATATTATATATATTCCTTTAGTTGAAATCACATTGAGCTTTTTGACGACAGCTTAACAAAAGAAACTTTTTGATTAAAATAATTATATTATACATTTGAAAAATATTTTGTGTGAGAATTTAATTAATTTATATTAAGTTAATTACGATCAGATTAAGGAATTTTTTTACAGTAAAAAGCATGTTAATATTTCGTTTAATATAATTAAAATAAGGTTAATGTACCGGGGAGGCTTTCGATCCAAGGTTGAGGCCCATACTTCCCAGGCCTTCTTCTGTAATTTGCACTATTCTATTTAAGTCCATAAAAAGCACTTATTTTCTTAAAAGCATTATTTACAGCAATTTTGATTTTTTTATAATATTTTTATAAATACTTGAAATATCTATATATTGTTTTAATTTATTTTTGCATGCTCGTATCTATTTTTCAGATCCACAATTTTGATACGTAATTTTTTTTTTAAAAAAAATTTAGTATAACTTTTCTCTTTATGTATATATATATATATATATATACATGCCTCGCTTATACTAATGACAGCTTAAATATTATTTACAGATATTAATTTAATTCCCAATTTTCAAATTAAGAATTTAATTTGAGAATACACATAATGAAACAAATAAACCAGCTTTTAATTATCTAAAAGAGAAAACGTGATTTTCGCCGGCAACCAATTCATGAAAGATGCGTACGTGAATATTCACACACGCATAAAATAGTTTTTGTCCTTATAATACATGTATATATATATATATATATAGGTATATATATAGAGTGGGGCCACAAAAACCATGCATTAATTCAACGTAATCAATTAAATTACATGCATGAAAATGATAACATTAACTCCTAGAAGATCATATTGGAACAAAAACGTGCAACGTACATATTTTGCTATTAATTTCCATCTACTTAATTAACATATTTTATTTGTTGAAGCTTTATTCAATGTATTTACTTATTAAGTATTCGATCATAATACATCATTAAATTTGTAATTAAATAAATCTTACATTTTAAATATATTATTAATCACTATTTAGTTATATACCGGATCATTTTATCTCGTGTGTCTGTTAATTCATTATATTAGTAATTATGTGTATATTCCGCCTAATTAATTGATAAAATGTGTAAAATTTCGATCTAAATTTTTAAAAGCACCCGTTTTCTATTTGTCATTGTTAGGTTGAATTATACGTTTTATATATAAAATTGCTCGTAGAGTTTCTTACCCCCTCCGTTGATAAAATTGCTTTCATTTTTTTCAAAAAAAAAAAAACTTGTTAATTTCTTATTTTGGTTTTAAGTATAAGATAAACAAATACATATAGCTACTAATTTATTTGAATTATTATATTTGTATGTAGATGTGCGTGTGAATTCATCTTTAATAACTCAAGTTACTTATAATTATGTAAGTTTTTATTATGTAAGTTAAGCAAAATTCAACCAATATTGTCTTGCCTTTAATTATATATATATATATATGTCTATATATGTGTGTGTGTGTGTGTGTATATATGTAATAAGCTGTGGACCAATGCGTGGAGAAGATGATGTTAGAAGCAAAGGTGTTCAATTGGCAATTGGGCGTCCTTCATGCCGAAAAAGAACCAAAGGTGGAAGTGGAACCCACTTTTACCCTCTATCTTTTCACATCACACCCTTTGCCTTCTTTTCTCATGTGGCCCTATTTTATCATACACACACATATACTTACATTATATATATACACACAGCTATAAGTGGATAAAAAACCCTAAAGACAAAAACCACCGAAAGCACCCAAAACATTTTCATTTTCATTTCATTTCACTTCGACTTCCCTCTCTCTCTCTCTAAAAAAACAATCATAATCATCGTCACCATCCTACCACCAGTAGCAGGCAAACAAGAAAGGAAAGAAAAGGAAAACAGAGAGAAGAAAGTGATCAAGGGAAGACCCTTAAACATGCAGCCCGCGGAGAACTCGGAGCTCTATCAATTCTTGACCGAAAACGGTGTCGGATCCTACGGATTCTTGCAGAACTGCGGTGAATACTCGGCAGCCATGAGCAGCTTTTGTGGGTCAACCTCCTCCTTCTACCCCCTTGACTTGTCCGGAATCAGCGATACAACGCCGCAGGATAGAGCTCTTGCTGCTTTGAAGAATCATAAAGAAGCTGAGAAGAGAAGGAGAGAGAGAATCAACTCTCACCTTAACAAGCTCAGGACACTCCTCCCTTGTAATTCTAAGGTAATTAATCAGTTAATTAAAACTCTTCTGCTATCACCTGTAATTAATATTTACACCTAACCTGTTTTTATACATTAAATTGATTTTTAAGTTTCCATGGCAATTTCAAAGTTCAAGATTTAGTGTAAGATTATAACGTATGTATACGATATATGAAATGGGGTTTTCCAAATTACCCATAGGAGTTTCAGATTTTCGGCGAAATATGGTTTTGATTTACTGGATTGAAGCCGATAATTTTAATGCTGTGATATTCTTCCGTGCTTTTTGGGCTGTTTGGTTCATGAGAGAAAAAAATAAAGTTGGAACATTGAATATAAGACTTTTCATAACTTTTTGACTCCAAGGAATTAAGCCAAAAACGCGTACATTAGTTGAATTTAGATAATTCCTAAACCACGATCATTAATTCAGTTGATTTAAATGAAAAACTTGAAATCATTTTCTAATCCTTTTTGGAAAACAAAGAACAAGCATCTGGGGGTCAAACCGCATATATCCAATTTTCGGTATATTCTCGTACTAAGTAGTATTTATACTTCCTGTGAATTTGTTTTTCATCAATTATTTACTAACAGAAGGAGAAGACTTGGGTTATATTACAAGTTCTTAAACAAAATATATGTATATATATTTATTTCTTTTTGATTGAGGATCCTCAACACAGAAAAGTACGGACACTGTGCTGCCTCTGTAAAGGGAGAGAAAAAAAGCTCCGTAACCTTTCCATGGTTAGTTTCTAGGGTTACAGTTTGTTTGGGAAAGTTGCGAAGCTTTTTCAACTGCGTTAGGGTTTCTATGTAATCTTTAATATGTGCGTGTGTGGATATGCATGATGATTGTTTATATATGTGGATGTGTGCATGTGTTTTGTTCGACAGACAGACAAAGCTTCCCTGCTAGCAAAAGTGGTTCAACGCGTGAAGGAGCTGAAACAGCAAACTAATGAAATCTCTGGACTTGAAAGCTTCCCGTCGGAGACGGACGAGATCTCCGTCTTGTCCGGTGAATGTTCCAGCGACGGTAGATTAATTTTCAAAGCTTCACTATGCTGCGAAGACCGGTCCGATCTCTTGCCGGAGCTGATCGAGATTCTCAAGTCTCTGCACCTCAAGACCCTGAGAGCAGAAATAGCCACTCTCGGCGGTAGAATCCGTAACGTCCTCGTCGTCGCCGCCGATAAGGATCACAGTAGCGTTGAGTCTGTCCATTTCTTGCAGAACGCCTTGAAGTCTTTGCTTGAACGATCAACCTCTAACGATCGCTCCAAAAGGAGACGTGCATTAGATCACCACAAAATCTTTGTCTAGTACGTACCTAAATTATTTTTGACGTCTTTATCGTCGGATTCATTAAACATAGATATCAAATATATTTTTGATGAATCTAACGGTAAATAAAATGTAATCCCAAGTCTCACTAGTTAGTATTCTATATATATATATATATATATCGCATTACCAATGCATGATCAGCTCCTTCTTTCGCCATTTTCCTTTTTTTTTTTTTTTTAATTTTAACATGTGTTTTTAGTCTCTTAAGTTGGGTGAGAGCTCCTTTGTAATCTTATGTGGGGTTTTGCTTGTTTTGTTTCCTGAGAAATTATATTACACCAAGAAAAACAAAAATATGTATTTGTGTATGTAATTAACTGTGAGGCTTTTTTTTTTATGAGAATTATTCAGAAAGAATCTCATGCATCTGGGATGTGGGTCTGGTCTACATAATTATAGCTTCCATATGTAAAGGGATAAAAAAAAAAAAAAGTAGGAGAATCTAAACGAAGACAGAGAGGTGATTGACGGAGAAGACGATGTGTACGTAGTTATAATTGTGATTATTTGGGGGTACTATAAGCATATACACTCTCTGAGTATCTGTAAAAGCTAGCTTCGTGTCCAGCCATGGCAGTGGGTTTTCTGTGAGTTTCAATGCTAATAGTAGATATCATATTTGTCTCCTTTTTTTTTTCTCTTTTCTGCTAACATATATTCTTGGCCAACCTACATGACATGTTATATGAAATATATATATATAATAGATATATGACGAAATACATAAATAATTTGCTCGTACACTGTTGTTTTGAAAAGAAACAGGGAGAGAAAGACAGAAGTATATATGTTGGAATTGGGAGGATTCTGTTGGGTCCAAGCTCAAGATTTTATGCTTTTATGCTTCTATGCTTCTGATCATCAAATTGGTATATATATATATATGTATATAGGTATAGGTCTATATATAAGACCTTGAGTTTTCCTTTTTAATTAGTAATTTTGTCTTCAAATTAAAGTATCTGAGGTTTCCAGAGGTAGACGACCCTTTCATCATGGGAAGACATCAGAACATTCTCACATTGGGAATCCATGCAGATCATGTCTTTGAATATTTTTGTGAACTTTTGACAATTTTATGCCTACAAATTATCCCTATAACCCTAATATATATTTATATATATATAATTTTCTCAAATATATGTTACAAATTTTTATCTTTTGTCCTAAGAGCATTATCTTCTGTCAGATTAATTATTGTAGCATTTGATATATAACAAAAAAGTGATATTGGTCATATATATGGTGAACTACAAAGAGAGCATATGGATTGGATATATATATATATATATATGTATCTCTACTAACTATGATGATATATCTAATGGGTGTCGAATAAATAATCTCTTATTAAATACCCTTTAATTTTTTAGATATTAAAGAAACGAAAAATACCCTCTATACATATATATATATATACACATTATTTTCTATCATTCTTGCCAATCCAAATCTTGTGTTAATTGGGTTATAGAGGGAAAAGACAATCACAAGTTGAAATTAACATTATAATCTTTAACTTAAATTAAGATATTATTTTATATTATTGTTCTATGGCCACCTTAGTCAAACTAAATGATAGCAAATAATATATATATATATATATATTTGTGTATAGATGTTACTAGCTCTAAGACATTAATATGTTATAATAATAAAATTCTGTCATGATTAAAATAAAAAATAAAGGTAATTAATTAAGAAAAGGATCTAGTAACCTTAACCATATAATTAGCAACGTTTATGTGTGGAATAAACTTATAATTAAAAAGTAACCATATATCATAATTATTAATAATGTACATACACACACAAAAGCAAGATTTATATATATATATATATATATATATATATATATAAGCAAATTGTCTTCACCAAAAGCCCTAGTTAATCATTATCTTTGAACATATGATGCTTTTACAGTAATCTTGTAACTACCATATATTAAATTAATATTTTATTTGTGATTTGATCGTAAGTAGTAATTTTTTATTTAATTAACTTATATTAATACATCAATATATAACAAATGTTCGAAATTTTATACTAGGCATTTCATACGTTACGGTCTATAAATTTTTATTAAAAATTAAATATTTAACTCAAAAATATAATAATAATAATGCATTGCAATTGTATTATTCATGTCCTTCAAATCTTATATAAAAATACATATACCACATAAAAAAAAACAAACAACACTCAGAAATCGAAAACAAAAGGGCACAAAACCATTAATTCAGTCTTAACCCTTTTAAGATTCAAGTGAAAAACTCACATATATGTATATGTATGTGTGTACGTATACGTATACGTACGTGTATGTATATGTAGTTGCAGGTTAGGTATACACAGAGAGGAGAATAGAATAAGAATAGAATAGAGGGAATGAAAAGGGGAGCACATGTTTTGGTAGAAGAAGCGTGAAAAAAGGAGACTGACAAAAAGGAGCAATGATGGGCAGCCCCTTAAACAGACAAACTCTCTGTTTCTTTTCTTTTCTCAATAAATTACCCTTGTCCATGGGACGTGCTCTTTGTCCCTGCATCCTGTTCCCTACAATATGCCTCCCTCCTCCATCTAATCTCCCCTCTATATATAACCTTATTTTATATCTACTTACATATACATATACATATACATACATACATATATATCAACTCAGAAAATCAATCCTCTATGTCACTGAACATTTGACCAGTATGTTGATTCTTCGTGTACATATTCATACACAAGTAGTTCAGCTTTTGAGTAAAAACACACTTTTAAAATATAGTCTCTATATGTATAAACCAATACTCAAACTCACCTCTCGCAGAAAAACTGTAAGAATATATCCACAGTTGTAGAAAATATAGATAGTTAGAGTTAATATTATACGTGAGTTTTACATTTGTATATTTATTAATTACGCGATATATAGACGTCAAACTTTAGCACGACATAAATAGTTTTATGATTCGATTAAACTAAATATGTACACGAAAATATAACTCGACTTAAACCCACTATTTATTTAAAAGAATCAATGTACCAATCATGGAGTTAAGCAGTAGTCAGCAAATGATGTATTTTGTTCTTCACTCAACAAGGGTATAATATCTAAACCGAGGCCCATACGTATTTGTGTGTGGGTGTGTATATGCAAACCTAATGTAGTTTCCGCTGACCCATCATACTTAAACTTCAGCGCCCATTCTTGCTTTTCTTAGGTAGCCCAGGGGACCAAACCAGGCCCCAGAGATTAAAATCACAAACCTAACTTACAGCTGCATGGCTCAAGTGTATATTTATTGTAGGCCCGAGCTTGTGTATGGGCTTCTCTTGTTCTTATATTTATGGGTCCATTCTTGGCCCGAGCTTGTGTATATTTACAGATACAGATATATATATATATATATATATATATATATGTGTGTGTGTGTGTGTGTGTACGACGCTTGATGCTTGATACTGTAAAAATTTTTAGTTTTTAATAAAAATATTATAGGGAACGAAAAGTAGGCAGTAGACAAAATTCAGGTTTGCAGTGTGATTCATACTCCACATTTTGAAATGCACTGCATGAGATTCCATATTCCAAAGCTTTCGGTACCGGGTGGGCTTTTCTTTTTCTTTTATCAGATGCTTCATTCAATCAAAACAGGTTTCCTTTAGAATAAAATGTCGACCGAATATATCACACACACACACACATATATATATATATATATAGATGTGTGAGAACGAAAAAGTATATAAAAAATAGTTTAATAACTTCAAAATAATAATATGAATCTACAATCCCACTGGATTAGCCTATACGTATTCAATAAAAATAAACCTCTGTGCAGAAGTTGTTCAAAAAATTACACTTACGCCTGCTGGTCAGACCAATTTGACAAAGGAAAAACAGCCTTTAGTGGGTCACCTAATTAGCAATGTCATATAGTAGAAGATACGGTCGCAGAAAAAAGTGAGCCTCACCAATTTTCACAAGCTGCAATTTGCACCACAAAAGGCTTTTTTTTTCTTCTCTTTCTTTTCTGTATATATAATTATATAATATATATATATATAGAGAGAGAGAGAGAGAGAGATGGGGGTGTAATAGAGGTTATGTTCTGTTCTGTTGTGGGTTAAAAAAAAAAAAAAAAAAGGTGGATGTGAACATGGAAGAACATGGAGTACAGGTGTTTGCAAGCGAGGGACAAGAGAATTTTGTTGACGCAGCAAGATATGTTTTTTGGCAATTAGGTCAACGTTTGTTAATTACTATTTCTTATTTCTTATATGTTTAATTCATCATCAGAATCCTATGGATAATACTACTCCCCGCTAATCACGATATCACTATTTCGTACATACATACATACATATATATATTTATATCTCCCTCAATATCTAACTCTTTCTTTTTTCTCATTTTGTCTCCCACAGTTGCCTTACAATGAAGATGGTGTTGAAATTAGGTTAAAGCATACACCTAGAAATCACTTTATACGAATGTAATAAAAATCTGAAATTTAATTAAAGTTATAGATAGATTTGGTACCAATATTTTATGTAGTAATTTGATTTGACAAAAACCAACACGGATTGAGATTCCCATAATTATGTTCTCTCCCGTTCTTCCCTTCATCTCTTTTAGTTGGAGAATAAGATTGTAGAAACTTTTCTTGGCCTACCATTTCTTAAGTCATATATATATATACACACACACACACACACAGATAGAGATAGATAGATAGAGAGAGAGAGAGAGAGAGAGAGAGAGAGAGAGAGAGAGAGCTTTATTCTATGGAAAAAAGGAGGGGCGGAGAAGAAAGTATCAAGGAATAAGAATTTCTTGCTTTATATATACATATATATTCCTTGCACAAACCTCCAATCTTTGGGATAAAGAAGCATCATGGAATTCTTTAGGGTTTACCTGCATTTTAGGGCATCTTTTGGATATATATGTATCTATATATACACATATATATATATATGTACGTGTGTGTATGTGTGGCTAGGAAAGATGCTTACCAAATCCAAAAAAAAAAACGACCAAGCCTTTTGTATCTTACTTGCATGATCGTCTCCATCCCCTTCTGAAAAAATTTCTAGCCATGACCGCAGGGCCACAAACGAAATCTCTCTTTCCTCTGTGCCTGTCTTTTTTGGAGTTCAATTGCCATATTGTTTTTTCTTGCTATGCCGGTAATGGATAAACTCATCTACCCATTTTAATACTCCATTTACCCATATTTTGAATAATACAAATTCTCTTTATCTCCAATCCTATAGAGATTGAAAATTCAATCCTTACATAATACAATAATATATTTATATATATATATATATATATATTATATTGTATTTAAAATCGTGTGCGAATTTTAATATAATTTAAATTTTATTATTCTAATTCTACTTAAATTTTTTAAACTAAATTTTTGGTAATTTAGATAAAATCAACTCGGAATAACCCACATCGGAAAAAAAAAAAAAAAGTTACTACGAATTATATGACATGCCCGTATAATTTGTACCATCATCGTGCATCAATTGCATGAATGTGTCTATGATTTGTAATGATAATACGAATATCATAATTAGGGTTCGAGTGGATTATTGAAATTAATCAAATTATTATGCAGTTGTTGGTGATCTAATTATAATTGTAATCAATTATTATTATTATTTTCAAAAGTGGGTCCTCAATTTATGGATTTTCTGGTTAGGAGTTGGCATCATTTATAAGTTATAATTAGTTGTTAAAAATACACATTTTGCTAATTAATTATTTATTTATATATATATATATGTGATATATCAATGTGACAGAAAATGAAGTTTATTAACTTTTTAATTTATCACATGGCTGCCTTCGTTAATGGCATATACGGATAGATATGTTTTGTTTTTAATTAAATTTAACATATAATAATATGTTATACAAATACATAATATATGAAATGGGTCCAAATATTAAACACCATATAGTAAAAAAAATTAAAAAAGCAGATGCACCAACTTTGGCATAAAAGCCCACCTCAATGATTAACGGAAGGCATATATACCGCCATTTGCCAGCGGCCCACCATTTGACAACTCTTGAGTCCGTAAATTATTATTTAATTGAGATCAAATTTATTTTACTTTTTAAATATATATATATATATATATTTTTTTTTTCTTAAAGCCAATATTTGTTTCGTCAAACGAACCGTGACCAAATGTAACATGTTGAATTTCAGGAACATAAATGACAACTACCCACTTTAGAATTTTCACAGATTTAGCTAGAAAAAAATGTATTTCAAAAATTAAATTTTAATTAATTAAGTGAAATTTAATATTCAAAGTCTTGTAATTCAACAATTTAATGGGGCGAGCTTGAAGTTGCAAATTAATACAATAAATTCATATTTAATTGTCGTGCAAAAGTTGAATAATTTAGAATATTGTAATTATTCAATTTAATTTATATTAATTTTATTTTGTAATAAAATTGTTTTTGATTATAAAAAATGAGAATAAAATTTTGATTATTAATTTTGTATATTTTAAATATTTGTTATTATTATTGTTGTTATTATTTTTGTCTGCATGTAAATTAACATTATATTTTTAGAGAATTTTAAATTTGAAGAATTTTATTTAAAAAAATAAAAAGGGTAAAAGACAAGAACTTTCAAATGGCAAACAAAAGCAGGTCAAAGTTGAAAAATACCCAAAAAAATATATATATATATAGCTCAGTTTCTAAAACGTCTTATAATGTTGGCATACAAATGTGTGTGTGTGTGTATGTGTATGTATATATTTATATCCGCAAGAGGCATTATATGCATCTCCCTCTACAAATATATATATTGGGTGTAAGTAATTGTATTTTTCCTTTTGGGATTTCAATAAGGACAGGCTGGAAGGATCCAAAACCCAACCCCACTTCCATTATTATTAGAGAGAAGAAGACAACCTTCTCCTCTCTCTTTCTCTCCATCGTCTCTAACAAACCATCCATGGCAAGATTGATACTTCCACTCCCACAATAAACCCATTAACGAAAAAGCTTACAAAAAGCAGAAATAAAGAAGTCTTGGGTTCCTTGCCTTTATTTTTTTTTCTTTTCCCTTTTCTTGTTGCTCTGGGTAGCATCTTTAACCCACTTTCTTTTTTTTTTGTTTTTTCTTTTCTTTTTTTTTTTTTTTTTTTCTTTCTTGCCTCTCTTATTCTTTCATTCTTCCTGGCGTGAAATTCTCTTCCTCTTCTTCTTTACGTTCTCTCGCATATCTTTTCTCTTGCTAGTTGCTTCACTCACAAGTTTTTTGTTTCTGGGTTCTTTCTTTTCTTTCTACCAAGCATTGTCTCTTTTATCAGTAAAGTTGAATTGCTTTTGGAAATTTCCCGGAGTTTGAATTTCCTTGGAAAATTACTTACTGGTTTGATTTTTTCTGGGCCTTTCTTTTTATTGATCAAGCTGTGAAATTCCATTGAATCGACCCGGGAACCGTCTTTCATCTCTATCTAGTTATGGTGTGAAAAAAAAAAAATCACTGCCGCTTTTCTTGATTGCTTCCTGGTGACAATCCTCAAATTTCTTATTGTTAATTTTCTTTCAAAAGTCTTGATCTTGCTTTACCTTGAATTTCTGTTTCCATGGGACTCTGTCATGGAAAACCCATTGAACATCAAGCCAAAAACCTTCCGGTGCCTGGCGAAGCTGATCCACCACCTTCTTCCCACACGACAAAATCTTCTAACTTCCCCTTTTATAGCCCAAGCCCATTGCCAAGCCTCTTCAAGACCTCGCCTGCAATATCAAGTGTGAACTCCACGCCATTGCGCATCTTCAAGCGTCCATTTCCGCCTCCTTCACCGGCAAAGCATATAAGGGCACTGCTAGCACGGAGACACGGCTCTGTCAAGCCCAACGAGGCTTCTATTCCTGAGGGTAATGAGCCTGAGGTTGGTTTGGACAAGAGCTTTGGATTCTCAAAACAGTTTTTATACCATTATGAGCTTGGCGAGGAGGTGGGTCGTGGGCATTTTGGTTACACTTGCTCTGCCAAGGCTAAGAAAGGAAGCTTGAAGGGCCAAGATGTGGCTGTCAAAGTTATCCCAAAGTCTAAGGTCTGTAAGTTTTCCACTACTGATTCTGATGAGAGAAAAACATTATGGGTCTCTTCTTGGTTGCCATGAAAGTTTCTTGGTTCGAATATGTCCTATTCATGTGTTAGATTTTTGTTCTTCTGGAAACATTTTATTTTTTTTTTTGTTTTCTACGAGCTGATCTTGAACATCATATTTTGATTCTTATTGCTCTACTTTGACTGTCTTATGTCATTCATTTTACCTGCTCATATGTCGGTACTGTTGGAAGGGATTATGTTGTGTCACCTTGGTATTATTCTTTGGGAATGACAATGCTATGAGGTTATCTTAGTCTTGTGCTTTCGTCATTTAGACAGATTCAGCACTTGACCAAATGAGTTTTTTTCTCAGTGATTAAGCAATAAGCACGTAAGTACTTCAAGCTGGTTTCTCTGATTAAATTAGATTCATATATATAGTCAATTTCAAGCAAAAATGCTCTTACCATCATCGTAAACAATAATCCAGTTTGATACTTGCTGCTATTTTCCATTAATTGGATTTGGTAGGTTCGATAAAGCTGCGATAATGTGTTTGATGTTGTGTATGATATTGTGTTTTGAGTTAGTTAAATTCATATACAGCACAAAGTACAAATGTCACTTTGTTTCTTAATCATCAATGTATGAGTAAAAGGAATCCTGATAGTCAATAATGAGTATTTATCATTCTGGGTGCTTAATATTGAAACCAACTATCTCTCTGTTTTCTTGTAATAAAAATAAAATAATTATTGGCAGATGACAACAGCAATTGCAATTGAAGATGTAAGGCGAGAAGTTAAGATATTGCGGGCTTTGACCGGTCATAAGAACCTAGTGCAGTTTTATGATGCGTATGAAGATGATGACAATGTTTATGTTGTCATGGAGTAAGTCTGAGTCTCAATCTATTCTTACCACAGCTCTTATTATTTTGCACTTCTTTTTATTGAATAAATATTATATTAATGGTTTATGGTGGGGGTTCTGGACTCACTATTTTGTCTTGGCTGGAGTAGATACAATCAACTTATTAAAAACTGCTAAATTTGGCTGTGTGCGTCATTTAGCACCAACAGTATTGAAAATTAGTCTGAATTTCCATCAATTTGGAATAGGTTTGGCATGGCCAAGTCTTCTTTCCAATATAATACGCTGATGAATGCTTTTAGCAAATCTATAGATGAGCTGGGGAGTCTGAATCTGGTAAAGATATTTATTATTCAAAGCTGATTAAATATTTCTTGTATATATTTATGATAATTATGGGACAAACCGGGGATAGAGTGAAACATGCTTACTTATTTTAAATATTGTAATGCCCATTTGAAGTTTGAATATAGTATTGGAAGCTTTTTGAACTTTTAACTTATGGATCTTAATCTAAATTATTTTGCTTTTCAGGTTGTGCAAAGGTGGGGAGCTACTGGATAGAATACTTTCTAGGTACACTTGTTCTTGTGTGCTTTTCTTGTTATGTAATATTTTTTATATTTTATGATTTGCTGAATTTCTGTTTGGGTTTTCTAGGGGTGGAAAATACCCGGAAGAAGATGCAAAGGCTGTTATGGTTCAGATTTTAAGCGTGGTGGCTTATTGTCATCTCCAGGGTGTAGTTCACCGTGACCTTAAGCCAGAGGTAAATTAACTCTTACCATTTAATACTTTATGGTGGCTAAAACAAAAACTTAAGCTCATTATCACTTATCCTGGAGTTCTAGCAACTAGGAAAGACTGGTTGACTTTACACTGGCAGTAAATCTTAATTTCTGGGTAACTATTTGATTACCGCCCCTTCTATTGCTTTTTGTGGACATAACATTATATATTATGCATGCCTGATGAATGATTCTGATCAGTCTCTTTGCCAAGATAAGGAACATGGGTTTTCTTCTGTTAGGATTTTGTTTATCCTGTCCTATAAATTATCTGCAACTCGGCACTGAATCCACGTGATTTGAAGGAAATCCGCTAATTGGACTTATAAAATCTCTCATCTGATTTGGAATCTTCAATGGTCATGTTTTCCGATTCTTTCTCTTTTCTTGTACTTAATTTACATGAATAAGCTTCTTACAAGCTAGTGTTGAAGTTTTGAATCCTGCACCAAGAGGTTCCGAGGTTTCAGATCCTACACCGTTTAGAAAATGCCCATCTGTAGTCTAGACAAGCTAGGAAGATTCTCTGAACTGCTTATTGAGAAATTCAAGTTCTTGCCACCAACTGTGCCTCCTACAGTTGAATGTTTCACTGCTAGAAGTGTCTAATTAGTTGTGGTTATAGTCCACCTACTTGCTTTGCCTGAACCAACTGATGATTGTATGCACCACCTGAGATATTTTTATGATTATTAAATGGCTAATTAAGACTTCAAATGTGACAATTCTGTTCCTAATCATGCACCTATAATGTTTCAGAATTTTCTATTTACTACTAAGGATGAGACTTCCCCATTGAAGGCCATTGATTTTGGACTTTCTGACTATGTGAAACCAGGTCAGAATTTTACCTAGGATTTTCCTTTTGGGTCTGTAAATATGGACCAAAATCTGATGATTGTGAACTTCTGCAGACGAAAGGTTAAATGATATTGTAGGAAGTGCCTACTATGTTGCTCCTGAAGTTCTGCATAGATCATATGGGACTGAAGCAGACATGTGGAGTATTGGAGTCATCGCTTACATCCTTCTATGTGGAAGCCGACCCTTTTGGGCCCGTACAGAATCTGGAATATTCAGAGCAGTCCTTAAAGCAGAACCTAATTTTGAAGAAGCCCCTTGGCCTTCTTTATCACTTGATGCTATAGATTTTGTGAAAAGATTGTTGAACAAGGACTACCGGAAGAGACTAACAGCTGCTCAGGCACTGAGTAAGTCAAGAGTTGTTTCCTGATTATGTTGCTTGATTTCTGGTTATTGACCTCCACAGAAATGGTATTGAAGTCTTAAATTACACACTTGAGGAAATTTTTTTGTGATAGCAAACAATTTGAGTTGGTTGCTAAGAGAGTACCTTTACAATTTTCGTTCCATTTGCATTTTTCTTGGATGACACTAGTATAGCTGTTTTTGTTTTCCTAGTGTCATATTAATGATTGCTGCCTGCTTGTTTTATGCTTAGGTCATCCATGGCTTGCTAGTTATCATGAAATAAAGATACCATCTGATATGATTGTGTACAAGCTTGTAAAGGCATATATATGCTCCTCTTCTCTACGGAAATCAGCTTTAGGGGTAAGTGCTGTAATATTCCAAGTGACTGATCAAATTCTGTAGTACAAAATTATATTAGGAGATGAGAAAAATTAAGCTCATGAAGAATTTCATTTGGTATTACAGCAATACATTTTAAATTCCCTTATAATTTAGTGAAATTCAGATGTGTTGTTCTGATACGACATAAAATTCCGAGCTTCTTTTATCAGTTAAGTAGGACTTTTGTCATATTCTAGCTAAAATGAACGCGGATTTACAAATGAATTCCATGCATATTTGTGCTTTTTCTAAAACATAACCAAAGTTTTTTTCCATTTTTCATCAGAATTTTGTTTATACATCTTCTATTTGTCTACTTACAATTTTGTTGCTTGATAATATTGTTAGAATTTTGCAACACTTGACAAATATCCAACCACAAAATTCGTCCTCTTTCATCCTATGCATGTAGAAATTAAGTTTACATCTCATTATATTTGGCAGCAGTGACCCAAGCACATGTTTCGGTCTTGGTTAACTTGTTGACACAAAATCAAAATGATTGTTGATTTTCGTGAAAATATTACTATTTAATTTAAACTGCAGCTATCTGTTCCCCAGTAAAATCCTTAAATATTGCAATTAATTGAGGCAAGTATGCGAATTAAAACTGACCTTTTGCTAAGCAGTCAAGTCACTAATACAAGCACTTGAATACATTTTTCGAAAACCATAAAATATAGTACATTGCACAGATATCTGCAATTTTACATGCATAAGCAGATCTTGGCATTTGTGGAACAATTAATAGTCAGACAAATCTTTTGCTATTATGACAGGCACTTGCGAAGACATTAACCGTGCCTCAGCTAGCCTATCTACGCGAGCAATTCACATTGTTAGGGCCAAATAAAAGTGGATTTATTTCTTTGCAGAACTATAAGACGGTTTGTTCTATTTTTCGCTTTTATCTTCGGGAGTTGTTATCTTAGTAGAACCTTTGTAGTTGTTTCTCAACTCATCATAAATGTTCATCAATATTTTGTAGGCAATTTTGAAGAACTCCACTGATGCCATGAAAGATTCGCGGGTCCTAGATTATGTCAGCATGGTAAGAAGTAGGAAGGATAATTAAGGTTTCCTTTTTCCTCATTGAGTAATTGCCATTTCCAGATTAATATAATTTAAACATAAGATATTAAAAGCAGTGATTGATTTTATATTCTTGCACACTGCAGGTTAGTTCTCTTCAATTTAGGAAATTAGATTTTGAAGAATTTTGTGCTTCTGCCATAAGTGTGCACCAACTGGAAGGAATGGAGAGTTGGGAGGAACATGCTCGGCGTGCTTATGAGTTATTTGAGAAGGATGGAAACAGGCCCATTATGATTGAGGAACTTGCTTCAGTAAGCTTTCTAACAGTCTTATTCTAATCTACGTCTCACTCTGGCTTATGCACGCACACGGACATGAATGTTTTTTCTGGTTTTATGAATGCAAATACACGAAACGTTAAAGTGATCTCTATCTGAGTCTTGAGCTAGGAAAGTACTGGCAGATAGAAGAGTGCTATAATGCATTGATTGTTTTAGATTTGTGCTTAAAGTCATCCTAAAGTGATTCATCGAAACCTATAAATTCATCTTGTCGAATTATTTCCACTAAATTTGCATTTTCAATCGGTAATACAATAGACTTGGGATCCACATTTTCCACTTATTGTCCGACTCTCAATTGCCTAACATAATGGACAAGAAGTGAAAGATTGTAATCTGACAAATGCTGTTTAAGTTCCTGTGAAGCTTTCATCATCATATAGGTAACCTGGTCTTGCATCTTCGAAACGGATGACGTCAGCACTAACTGTTACAAAAAATGGATCTTGTTTTACCAGGAGCTTGGACTCAGCCCATCAGTACCCGTGCATGTAGTTCTCCAAGACTGGATAAGACACTCAGATGGGAAGCTTAGTTTCTTAGGTTTTGTCAGACTTTTACACGGGGTATCTTCTCGAACATTTCAGAAGACCTAAAACGAGAACAGAGGAAAGAAGTCGGTGTTCAACTCAGCTTGTGGAAGAGGGAAGTGTCTGAAGGGGACAGAAGCCGTGCCATGGCTGCCCAGTAGGAGAAGAATATGTTAAGGCTTTAGCCAGCAGCAATTGATATTTGTAACTGGGTAAACCGGGTTACAGACACTCTGAAACCGAGCCTAAACTGGGCGATCCGTTGTTAGTGAAGACATGTTTGTCAGCTCAAGCCATTCTCAACCCACCCTTCTTGTGTTTCCATTTTTTTTTTTTTGGTTGTCTTCTCCCAGTTTAGCTTAGTGGTGATTGGTGTTGATGAGGTTTGTACAGATGAGGGTGGATGGTAAAAGAATGTATTTAGCGTCACTCAGCAGACAGCTTTAAAACTTTGAATTTCATGGTTTCTGGGTTTATCCCTTGTGTACCCCCCCAAATCTTGATCCAATATGGTTATCAAATCTTTTTACAGCACTGTTTTGTCTCACTATACCAGTTATATTACCTGCTTTTTATAAATGTTAATTTAAAAATAAAATTATATATATATTTATTAGAGATTATTTAAATTGTTGCATTAATCCGTACATCAATTATAAATTTTTTTTTTATACATTTATCAAAATTATTTTATTAAGAAATTAATTTATTAAATAATGGTAAATAAAGAAGTTACCAAGTAACATAAGATATTAATTAATTGATTAAAGTAAAATGTGCCCGACAGTAGTCGAACGTGGAGATCTCCCCCGACCGCTGGCTCTTAGATCGGACGGTGATGACCCGATGCAATGATATCTTACGCTTGCTTGTATGGGCCCCTGCGGTGATGACCTGGCAGGGATCTCACTGAAGGATTTACAGACTTCTTCTCTCTGCTATTCCTCTCTTCATCTTCTTCTCGTCCCTCTCTGATTCCCTGCAATTTCAATGGCGACAATTAACAAAACCCTCAAGCACAAAACTAAACCCGGATCCGCCATTAAACTCGTTATGATCTCTATTACTACAGTAGCGTTGTTCTTCCTTTTCTCTTCTGTAATATCCACCGGTGAGCTCGCTTTAGCTTCTCAAAATGCCCTAGCATCTCTCGTGAGACCCCAGAAGCCCATGAGAGAGCACTCTCTCTCTGAAAAATACTTGTACTGGGGGGACAGAATTGATTGCCCGGGAAAGCATTGCGATTCGTGTGAGGGTCTTGGTCACCAAGAATCTAGCCTCAGGTGCGCCCTTGAAGAGGCTATGTTCCTTAACAGGTAAGTGGGCTCAAATAGTTAGTTCTCTTCTCCCTGTTTGGTTGCTGGGAATTTGGGAAATGAAAGTGCACTGAATTTTCTAGTGGTCTGTACTGGGGATCTGAGGGAAGGAATCTGGAAATGCAACGTCGTTCGCTGCACTTACTGGGTTTATTAGGCTATCGGGTTATTGAAAATGTAAGATTTAGGATTTTGCTTTGTTTCATTTTGTTTAGCTCCATGGCAAGCCAATCGTATGTTAAGATATCCGGTCATTGTTTACTTCGTGGGATTTGAAATTTCTAGACTTCATTGATTGAATTTACTCTCTAATCCTGTAACATTATTTTGCTTTAGTTTTGGCTCTGTGATGGGAACTAAACAACTACAGTTTGCTTATGCAATTCTAAACTCTTTTGTTGCCATATTGATCATCTTGGAGGTTCATGCTGGTATCTTAAATCTTTGAGATCAAGGAAGTCTGATAACACCATTTATATGAGTGCAGCAGAGTTGAGCAATTCAATTTTCACAGAATCAAATATCAGCTTTATTCTGCTCCTTTTGTTTTTTGGTTGGGGGGAGGGGGAGTTGTAAGATCTCACACTTGCAATTTACTATCTTCTTCTTGTTGCAGAACATTTGTGATGCCTTCCAGGATGTGCATCAATCCAGTGCACAATAAGAAAGGGATCCTTCATCAGTCTAACAATAGTAGTTCAGAAGAAAGGTGAATTCATATTTGCTACCTATTGGTTTTGAATGTGTAGACTCTCTCCTTCAGAAAAGTAAAAGAAATAACCTTCATCTTTTACTGATAGATGTACATTAACAAGCACATTTACATATCTATTGCAAAAAAAGAAAAGAATCAAGATGCTCTTGTTTTAATTTGGCAGGTGGGCAGCAAGCTCTTGTGCTATGGATTCTCTGTATGATATTGACTTTATATCTGAAACAATACCTGTAATTTTAGACAATTCAGAAATGTGGCATGTTGTGCTGTCTACTAGCATGAAGTTGGGAAAGAGAGGGATTGCCCATGTGGAAGGAATTAGCCGGGTTGAACTGAAAGAGAATGACCGTTTCTCCAATCTATTGCTTATTAATCGAACTGCAAGCCCTCTATCATGGTAACTTTTATGTTTTTTTGTTGCCCTTCCCTTTAATTTTTCTTGTTTGATCAGGGCCTAGAGGCACAGCCATATGATGATTGGATAAATACATGCATACATGTCTACTCTTTGTATGAGTAACATGTCTTTTCATAATGCCAACTTCGATTTGGATGAAAAGGTGATCGGGCATTGTTCCTTGTAGTCTAGCCATCATTTAATCGATTATTCTTGATCTCCTTATATTAGTTACTAAGTTGGGATACTTTAGTTTGCTAAGTTTTGAATGGGCAACAATTGTCATGTCTATGCAGGTTTATGGAGTGCAAAGATCGTAACAACCGCAGTGCCATAATGTTGCCATATTCATTTCTTCCTTCAATGGCAGCAGAAAAATTAAGAAATGCTGCAGAAAAGGTATATAACATATGTAAATGCCTTAATAGTTTTATAGTTCCTTTTGGTTGTTTTGCATTCCAAATAAAACTGATAACTACACCTTTTCCTTCTATTTGAGGGGGAATGAGGTTCTACTATTAAATGTATAAAACAATGTAGTTGAGCATTTGATGGATTGATATTGTTCCTCATGTTTCTAGTCCTTTGTAAATGGACTTTCTTGTTACCTGTGCCTTAATGATGGAAAATTTTCTGATCCTGGTCCTGGATAATTCTGGAGGTCCATAAACTAACAATTGAATCCTAACTTCTGTTGGAACTTGTCCACATGCACAGAAGAACCACGAAGTTTCACATGTCTACATATGGTTGTTTATACACATGTTGAGCATTGCACTCTATACTTGGGCTCCTGCACAGGGGCGTGTAAGAAATTTTACTAGCTTGACTCTTAACCCAAGTGTTTATTTAGTTATTTACTAAGATCGTCCTTTAATGAAGAAGGATAGCTGTTAATGTGGATCATTTCGAAGATATAATTGGATAGCATTTATAGTGATGTTCCATTTATATGTTTGGTGAAATCTGGCATGTTAACTAAACCTTTTGCAGGGGCTTGCTATGTGCTTGTATGGTCTGGAGGCTTACTTGTCTTAAAGTTTAAGTTCTTTGTCTTGAGGCTTACTTGTCTATCCCCAATGCTGCATCATTAGTTGTTGATCTCAAACTAGAAAAGTAAACGTTTGTGGAAATTAAACTGCTTTTGGTTTGAACTTCCTCCTCCTTTTCTCTTTTTCTCAACTTGATGGCACTGGCCTACTGGCAAATACTAAAGTTTGGAATGTCCACTTCCAGAACAGAGTGTGCATTGCTATTAATTGTCAAACATTTTCTGGGAAGTGTATTAGTGCATGAATTTTATCCATTCTCTATTTTCTGTTCTTGTAGAAGGCTCTCAAAATGCACTGAGCTCTAATTGGTTTCATGTTAACAGGTCAAGGCATTACTTGGTGATTATGATGCAATTCATGTTCGTCGAGGAGATAAAATAAAAACTAGGAAAGACAGATTTGGGGTTCAAAGGAGTTTACATCCTCATCTTGATAGGGATACACGTCCAGAGTTTATCATCCACAGAATTGCAAAGTGGGTTCCCCCTGGACGAACACTTTTTATCGCTTCAAATGAGCGGACACCGGGATTTTTCTCACCTCTTTCCATCAGGTATACATTGTTTAAGCTCACATAATATCATCCAGAGCTAGATCTTTCTTAATTCTTTTTTTCTTTTTTTTTTTTTTTTTTTTGTGGTTTCTATTGAAAATCGTAAAACATAGCTATTTTTAGGGTCTTGTTGACTGAAATACACAGCTTTTTCTCTTTGATTGGCATTTGAAATGGATATGAAAGATTTTTCATTTCCTTAAACATTTGACAAGTCCTACCTAAATTGAGGAGCTCTAAACAATGTTGACAATGTATTATAAAATTAACTCTCACCAAGTATCAGATTTCTGCACTTCCAAAGATAACATCTATATTTGCTATCTCTGTTATAGTTGGCCTTCTACCATGTATAACATCTTATTGAGGACTTGGATTCAAAAGTATTTTTGAGATAAAAATAGTATAGTATGATGCACTCAAATTTTTCTGCCAAGAAGTTTAATAATAAACACAAAGGAGTGGAACACTCTCACATGTTTGAGGTGAATGCTAGTAGAGAGTAAAATAATGCAGTAATTGCCAATTGTACAGTACTTTCTGTATCAGAAAATAATAAACTCAGAAACTAAGTGCTAGTGGCTTAATTGCCATGACTCGAAACAAAACAGATGGGCGAGCCTAACCTGAATTTGAGAAAAAAAATGATGCTCTAGGATAGGCTTGAGTTGAAAGTTGATACGGGCATGGTGGGGCCATTGGCTGTCCTGGCACTGGAGTAATGGTTACTGTCATTGGATCATTATGGCTTATTTTCTAGAGGAGGGTTAAATACATCAGGGTTTCCAAATATCCTTGTTTGAGAGGTCATTTTGAGGAAAAACAAACTATGTGCTTCTCAGAAAAGGTCAGAAGGAAGGATGTCTGGTTTCTATGCAAAAAAAAAAGGATTCGATTTCTATCATAATGATGGAAGGTTAGATACTTTTGATGGGGTTAATTGGAAATGCAGTCCAGACAACGGGCCCTCGCCTTTCTGACTGTATTTTCTTGGGGAAGGGTCAGTCTCATCTGAAGCATCCTGCAAAGCCACTCATTTGTCCTGATTAAATAGTAGAATCTATCTCCCAGTGATTCGTTTCTCTGCTAATAACCTAATGTAGGAAAAATTATGGTTAAATGCCTACTAAGAAATTGGGAGGAAACCTAGATATTATAGCTAGAGTTCTTAGACATCACACTTAAGAGTTGATTGAGTCACATAATCAATAATGAGAAATTCTCAAAATTTTATTGAATACTTGAATGATCAATTAGTGAAATAAAGAGTTACTTATAATAACCTCTAAGGTTGACATCTATAATGGTTGCAAATAGTTGGGCAGACTGCTTTAGAAGTGGTTTTAATGCAAAATAGGCTAGTATTAGATTTCCTAAATAGTTAAATTACTATAATAATACTTCTCAATAATATAGACTCCTAGTAACTATAGGAAGGTTTCGTAATTCATCTAACATTATCTTTTCAGTAAAGATCTCTAATTATTTATTTTGTCGTAATTTATACTATGTTTTTAAATATAGGAAAATATTTTTATGGTGTTAATCAAATTCCTACTTTACTTTAACCCCTTCATAAAAAGTGAGGTTGAAAACTTCTGTTTTACTTAGGAAGATGAAAATGCTGAAAATTAGTACACAAGTTTGTGTAAACTTTTCTGTTAGAAAATATTTACGATAATTTCTTTTTTTTTTAAACCCTTTTTGCAGGTACAAATTGGCATATTCATCAAACTATAGTCAGGTCTTGGATCCATTGATTGAGAACAATTATCAGTTATTCATGATTGAAAGGCTCATCTTAATGGGGGCAAAAACATTCATAAGAACATTTAAAGAAGGTGACACAGATCTCGGCCTGACCGACGACCCAAAAAAGAATACAAAGATTTGGCAAATACCTGTTTATACCATGGATGGAGAAGGAAGCTGAATCATTATTATCATTATTACTTTTTAACCTTCACACCCTAAAATTAGCACCAACTTTACAATTCAGCCCATCACTTCTCCGGTGGTCACAGTTCTTCTGGCTTAGCTCATGTAACAAAGTACATTGCAGAATCTTGTCGCAGATGATGAGGGAAGTTTATAACCGAACGAGAACTAAATAAACGGCTGGATTGTGGTAAGGAGGAGTATCTTTTCTTCACATAAGTCGTTATTTTTTCTGTAAAGAAGGTGATCCCATTCCAGTTCAGTGTTGTTAGATACACTATTGTTGTAGACAACCAAGACCACTACTACTTTCTCTGGTGGTGTTGAATTGAATTGAAGGTCTGGCAGAAGAACAATTGTAGAGAGTTCAGATGAATCATAAATTTTTTTTGATCTTTTGTAAGCATGACATCTTTTGCAAGATGGAAAGCTTGTCTTAGCATTATGTACAACTCATGGATTACATTATACATTTAATTATAGAACATGATCTTGACCATAACATATTGATATAAATTAGTTGGCCACCATATTATTTGCCCTTAAAAAATTAAATTAATTATCTAAATGACATCATCATCTTATGGAAATAAATAAAAAATCAAATTACCTAACAATTATAAAGCATCTTATTTGTAACTCATCACATGGTGGGTATCACATTTCCATGTCAGGTGATAAAATTTGATTCATGATAGAATTTCTTTTTCTGAAACTTGTTGAAAGGATGCCTGAAACTTTTCAATTTTAAATGCATTTTCTTTTTTACAAACTTCTTTTAATATAATTGCAATGAAACGACGACGTGGGGAACACAATCAAGCTGGCCAATCGATTCAAATCCAAGAATCCTGATCTTGCCACGTCAATCTCGTGGACCCCGCCTTTTAACTGAAAGTACGCGAGCAATATTCCAAAAGCCACCGGCTTTATTTTTCTATCGACACGTGGAAAGGCCAACCTGGAATTGATGATTTCTAAAAGCTCGCACGTACGAAAGCTCGACTGCAGTTCCTCACACGGGAGAACAAGTGTATATATAAGCTTAACTGTTTTGATATTTCTCGGAAAACGATAGAGGAGGAAGAAGCGAAGAGATAGAGAAGATTCACTCGCCGGAATATTCCGTTTCATCGGGTGAGTGAGAGTCTCTTATTTATTATTTATTTTTTTCTTCTTAAAATTTCCAATGGATTTTGATTTACTTCGACTTTCGGAAATTCATGCGTAATGATATGCGAGAGAAAAAAAAAAAATCAGTTTTCGATTTTGAAATGGAACTGACCGCTTTTATTGTGCTGGGAAGAGTCCTCTTGCGTTCTTTGTCCTGTGAATCCTGTTTGGTTGGGAAGAAGAGTGTAAAACAAAAAATGAGTGAAGTGGAATTTCGGTATTGTTGAGTGAAATACTAAAAGAAATAATAATCATAAAAAAAAGCTTAAGTGAGCGATGTTGTTGTGTAGATTCGTGACGTGACGGTTTTTATTCCGTAGGAAATTTAAGGTATAGAAGTTAATTTAGTTGTTTTTCCAAACATTTCCTCTTTAGATTTTGTTAGAGGATTAAAATTGTTTTAGATTTGAGTTTTATTGATTAAAATACGAGAATGAGGTGATCTTCTAGCTCTGTGGTTTGGAAATCCGTTACATGAATGAATTTGACTGTTTTAATGTAATCTGTTGTTTGAGAATTTGAAGAATGAAGCGTGAATATCAGAACATGTTATGATTTGCTTTATCTTCCCTGCCAATCAAAGATGGCATGATTGTCTCCTCCTGGAAATTTTAGTTTTCCTCTTAACCTTTGATGATAGACATTTAAGAATACCAACGAAAGGAATGTTAAAGTTGCAGATAAAGACTGATTAGAGTGTTGGAACAGACTCATCTCCATCTGTCATGCCGCACTTATCCGCGAGAATCTATCATAGGCAATATTAGTGACGCAGCTGAAGTTCTCCAAAATGGTAGCTACGGGATCTCGCATATCCTGTCAGTTCTGAGCTCTGCATCTATAGCATTTTTCTCTGAATGGCGCAGTGATTTAAGGATACCAACAAAGGAAATCAAGAAGGTCTATGTTGGTGGGACTGATGATCCAGCTTCTGTGAATGATTCAACTGATGCTTCAAAGAGCTGTTTGTCACTCGGGAAGCTTCTGTATCTGTTGGAATTGGCTGGAAAGGATCTAAAGCTTGTGAGAATGGCAGTACCAATCAGAGATATGGAAAATGAAAATTTATTGGATTACTTGGATGTTTGCTTGGATTTTGTTGATCAGAGTAGGAAAGAAGGAGCTGTTTTGGTGCATTGCTTTGCTGGAGTGTCGAGAAGGTAATATTCGCTTTCTCCCTATCTTGGCCATCTCCATTCCCATTATGTGTTTTGTAGATATTAACTAAAGTCATCTGGTAGAGACCTTGCAAACTGGGTTTGGCTGGTGAAGTTTTGAGTAGTTGCTAAATGTTAACCCAATTAATTTAGCTGAAAATTTAGAGGATAAAAAGGAGAAATTGAACCTTTGCTTCATAATTCTGATAATCAGTTTTGAAGTTCATAGTAGCTTGGTTTGGAGCATAGTTTCAGCATCATAGAGATGTAAAAAGTAACTGCTTGGTGAGTCTGACTATGTTATGATCCTATATCTGATTTACGAACTTGAAATAATATTTTTGTAACTGTTTCAGAGTATTTCGTCCGTCTTTCCCCTCACATCATGTATCACCAAAACAAGAGGATATCCTTGTTGTAATATCGTCTTCATCTCTGAAGAGCAAAAGTTGGAGTAGGATAATTAAAACATGAATGTTACCTCTATCCATGTGTTGCTTATTGCATTTGACTTCTTATTTGTTATGTTGAAAATCGAATCCAGAATTTAAGAGCTTGACAACTATATGGTATTATTTTTTATTATTTGATCCTTCAATCCTTCCTAAGTGCATATGGATGGAACTACTATCGTTTAGTTGTATAACTGTATTGCTGGGTCAGAAATTGTCCAGAACAGGCTTGCATTGTTGCTACTTCTCTTGATTCTTGACTTCTCAATCTTGAGGGTTCACAGCATTCTTTGTATGTGTTTGTTGCAGTGCAGCTATAATTACAGCATATCTCATGAGAACTGAACAACTGTCTCAAGAAGGTTTGAACAAATCCATTGTTTGTTTGGAGTAATGTGGTTTACAAATTGTTATATGGTTTTGGCTTTTCCTTTTTTCTATTGAAAAGTGAATGTTCTTTTTCAGAAAAGTGGAATATTATATTGTTACTATAATAGTATTTATGTGTCATTTATTGCCCTCTTTTTCCTTATATTTCCTTCCTGTAGAAGCCCTTGATTCGATGCGGCAAAGCTGTGAGTTTGTTTGTCCCAATGATGGGTTTCTGGAGCAGGTAATGCAAATACTGCTGTATTAGCTGATCATTTATATTAAAGCACCATAAGTCTATTCTAAGTTCTTGTGTCAAAACATGTCTGTCTATTAATTTTCTGTAATGTGTAATTCTTTCTGTAGTTAAAAATGTTTGAGGAAATGAGTTTCAAGGTTGATCATGCTAGCCCCATATACAAGAGATTCCGTCTGAAAGTTTTAGGCAAGTTCTTTTCTTCTTTTTCTTCATGCTGTGCCTTGATTTATTCAAATACTCTTTAGCCTCGAAAAATCCCATTTTGAGATTAGTTCCTAGATTATGTTAATCTTAGGCCGTTCAGTTTCTTGTTGATATAATATTCTGAATCATTTTTAGTTATGGAAGACAGATTCAGAATATGGTTCACAAGCATGTCTGAAAGCAAGGTAGTAGGCCTGAAAGGAGTAAGGCTTAGTAACAATAACTTTGGTACCGGGCCAAGCAGTCTAGTGTAAGGCTTCCAGTTCAAGTATTTCGAAGCTAGCTGTTTTTCTTAGTCCTTTACACAGCATTTGCTAAATTATAACTATAGAAAAAAGTCATTATGTCGCATTATACTAGAACCTTTTTTTTTTTTTTTTTTTTTGGGGAAAGTAGAAGTTTCCGATAGGCATGTTAGACTAGACAAAATATTAATGGTCATGGTTTGTTCAACCACCTGAGGAAGAAACTAATTATCGATGTTCTCACTCCCATGGGCAGAACCAGTAATGGGGTTTAATATGCATATTACTGGGGAAAGCTACATCCAAGCCAACTCCCCAGAAGAAAAGTAGTGTTTAATGTACTTTTAACTGTTAAGTTTATATATACTTATAACTTTATTCCTTTCTTTCGAACTCACAAATTTTCTTCTTCTTCTTTCCCCTTTTTATTATGCATCTATCGTATGCCTGATATTTTATGTATTAATCAGGTGATTCATATAATCGAGGGGAGAAAATAGACAGCTCTAAATTTGGGGCTGATCCGGGCCTGCCAAAAGAAGTTTCCTCTAAGTTAGAGCTATCTGCAAATGGAGAAAATAATCGAACACCTGTTTATCGCTGCAAGAAATGCCGTAGAGTTGTTGCGCTGCAGGAAAATGTTGTGGATCATGCTCCAGGAGAGGGTGAGACATCATTTGGGTGGCAGAAGCGGAGAAGTGGCAACCCCTTTAAGTCTGCAGAAACTGAGTGCTCTTCTGTTTTTGTTGAACCTCTACGGTGGATGACAGCAGGTAAAAGCATTTAACACTTGTCTAGAATATTTGAGAGTTCATAGAATTATTTAATGATTCTTAATGTCAGTGTTACACCTGTATATTATGAATTTGAACTGAAACCTAACAGAAAATACGAAGAAATATTTTACTCTTTTTTGTGAATGTAACCCATTTGACCACCTTTGTAGGCCTTGCATTTTTCCTGTATCTCCTTTGCCTTTTTTCTGCTAATAGATCATAAATTAGATTCAACCATTATCTCATAGAATCTTGTTTAGTGCATCCTAGGTTTATCTTTCAGGAGTAAAGTCGAGTGAAGGTAAAACTTATTGCCCATGTTTGGCATTCTAAAAGACGTAAAATGGGGTCAGGTGGTGACACTCTAAACACCTTTAGAAATCTCTATAGTCCTCCAATGATTCAACCCCAGATTGGAGGCTTAGGGTATTTCATAACTTATTCAACAATATATTAAGTTTCCAAATATGTTCATTAATTTATCAGTAAACTTGAATCCAACAATGTTTTGATTTAAAAATTTTAGCCTTTCTTATTGGTAACTCCCAAGGAAGTGCTTATTTTAACCCTACGTTTTTTAAAACCCTCAAACTCTCAAACTAGGTGTTAGGTTTTTGTGGTTGTTATTTGCATGGTAATCAGAGTTTAATTCTTGAGAATTGTTCTTTGTTGTCACATTTAGTTGAAGAAGGTGCATTGGAGGGCAAGTTGTCCTGTGCTCATTGTGAAGCCCGGTTAGGTTACTTCAACTGGTCAGGCATTCAATGTAGTTGTGGAAGTTGGATCACCCCAGCCTTTCAGCTCCACAAAAGCCGTGTGGACATCAGCACGGTCTAATACTGGTAAGACCACAAAAGCTAGTCTGTCAGTACCCCGCTAAACCACTGAATTATTGAATATTTCCCATTGATAATCGTAGAACT